GAAAAATGCAGCTTTGTGTTTACACACACCTGAATGCTCCAGACCTGCAAACATCTGTTTTTATAGATAATCAATAATTAAAGTGCGTTTAATTAGCAGCACCTGGCTGCTCCTTACCCCCTTAATTCTTGTGGAAGCAGTGAGAGTGAACTTCAGTCACAGGACTGAAAAAAACCCTCCTTTTTATATGATTGTAATATATAAATTTAGAATGGTCTGAAGTAGCTGCTCTGATCCTGAATTTAGAATTAGTTCCAAAGTGCTAGAAATCTTTTTTTTTCCTAATTGCATGACCTTTTCAGAGGCTTTTATTTTTTTTCACAAGGACTAAATGAGGACATCTCAAAACGCTGTGTTATCGACCATTAATTTAGGACCATTATCAGCCATTTTCTGTGATTACTTAGCCAGGAAAGGAGTATTTTCTGTCAGGAATAGCCTTGCTATGATCATTATAGCTTATCAGTGTCAAGCTAGATCTGTGCTAGATGTGCTGTGAGTGTGATACTGTATCTCTATCATTTGGCGAGTGTTAAAATGCTGTTTGTGGGGCTTAGGATTTATCTGCACCACAAACACCATCCAGTGGATTTATCCCTGCCAGTGTCCTTTGAAAGTAGGCCAGGACCATTTATTTGTGTGTTTCATCTGGCACATTCCTGTTGTACCTGCATCTAACCACACAGTGGTAAAAAAGAAAGAGCTGGCGGGTATATGCATGGAGATTTCTGCATGCCTTTGAGCCGAGCTGTCACAAAATTAGGGCCACAACAAACTAGATTATAGCTCGCCACAATCAATCGCCATATTACAAGACACAGCTAATAAGCTGGCTATGGGAGCAAGCCACAGTGACCCTTTAGCAGATGATATTTACATATGCACAGAAAAAAAACCCAATAAAATATAATAACATATAAGAAAATATGAAAAGTTTATATGGAAAATTTGAAGTAAAATTGAGTAAAGGGGAACAATATTAATTACATTTTTTTTATAGAACAAAGAAACAATAAAGAGTAGAAATCCTCTTTCATTTTACTTTAATGAAGCAATTTTGTTTTTTGTTGACTTTAATAATTAGGATATTTATTTATTTCTTGCCTCTCTATAAAAATAACTATGAGTTACATTAAAATAGCTATTGATCGCAAACTTGAATTAGCCAGATGCTTTGTATGGTTTGCCAACGAGCTGTCATTCCAGTCTCATATAACACTAGGGATGATCCTCTACTCCAGCCCTAATGCTGCACACACACAGTGTCCCACTGCGGTTGGTTTCATGCCAAACCCAACATCACAGCAGGGTTGAAAAGTGCCACTAGCTACTAACCACCTGGTGGTAGGGATTTTTTTTTTCTTGCCTCTCGCCTTTATTTAGACAGCACAGCAGAGATAGGCAACGGGGGGGAAAGGGAACAGGGAATGACAAACAGCAAAGGTCTAGCTGAGTGGGAGTTTATCCTGGGACTCTGAGATAAAGGGCATTTTAGCTCATTTGGTATGCATCTTGACTACCCTACAATCGACCCTAAATCATTACACTTTGTTAATCAATCAGTTTAACAACCTGGTAGCTGCTGCAGGTCGACCAAAAAGTACTTTTCATTGAAGCCATTTTACTGTTTTTAATGGCAGTCAGTTTGAAGCGGCTAAACTAACTGTGATGGCTAAATTCCAAACCTAATGCTACACCCTTAGTCAGTGCACTGTATTACAGCTGTACTCCAAGCATAATGCTAAGTCATGGTATTATGGCTTCACTCCAAGCAAATATTGTAACCCCAGCCAGTGTATTATATCGCTGTTCAAAGCCAAATCCCAACTGCTGTCATTCTCTCTTTCACTATCACTCTCTTGATTAGAAGCTCTGCAGCCAGGGCTTTGTTTGGGGTTGGAACAAACACATAAGCTCACAGTCAGATCCTGTGTATGCTTATGTGTGTGTGTGAGAGAGAGTAGGAATTAACTGATACCTTCTTGTGTGCAAGTGTGTGTGTATGTGTCAGAAGAGTCTCACAGTCTGCTGGGATGGTGGAGTCCTGGAGGCACCATATGGTCTCCGTGCCGCTCATAGACCTCTCTGTTCTCCTCTTTCGCCTCTCCTCCTTCTTCCTCACTGTCTCCTCTCTTTCACTACACCTCTTTGATCTCACATCCCTCTTCCTCCTCATCTCTACTCCCCACTGTTTCCCCGTTTTTTCTTGCTCCCTGCATTTCACTTTGTGTCACTCATTTTATATTCTCCCCCTCTAGTTTGTTTTTAAGTCTTGAACTCTTTCACTGTCATGTCTAAACTCTTTTAGCCGTTTTAGCCATTTTTCTTTAACGTTTCTTGATGGTGTAGTGTATCTATTTAGAGTATTTCTGGATTTCGGTCAAACTTGTGGAGTGCATGCTTTTCTAGCTCGTATATTCACCAGGGAATATAAAAGTCCAGATAGATATCTGGGTTGTTACCATACAAGAATTTCGAACTTGATACAGATACCCAGAAAAATACTTAACACCGTTTTCAATACCACAAGGGGGATTGTTTTTAAAGTAATGTGATAGTGGTTTGTACAAATGCATGGCATGAACCATGCAGCTGGGTTTATTTCTTGTCTTCTGGTGGTTTGGCATCATATTTTCAGATGATCAAATAGAGTTGATAAAGTAGGCTGCCACTGTTTCGGTGTAGTTGCTGATAAACTTTTCTTTCCTTTAATCTGAGACTTTAAGAGAAACATAACACTTTTTAAAGGACAAATAATTGTGTTATCCTGTTAAATTAACATTGCCAGTTACAGCTGAGCAGGCCTGATAATGTTTGTTGCCTAGCTTGCACATTAACTTTATCATTAGCCATAGCTGCTAGCCACTACCTTAATGATAATGGCAGCTAATGTGGGTAATTGCTAATACTTAAACAGCTTGTTAGCGTGTGTGCTGGCCAGGTTGTGATAACGGTTCAATGAAAATGGGGGGAGTTCTGTGTCAATAGGATGAAGGTGGCACTGTTGATATCAGCGTTGTTGCAAATAAATATCTAATCCTATAGTCATTTTAGTGTCAGTTAGTATCCGAGTATCAATTTTCCAGACAAAAAGGGTAAAGCATTTAAATACATTTTTGCATTTGATAATTTTATTTGGCACAACAACTGCAAAACACCCACAAGATGTCTGCCACAGCCTCCATCCATCAAGGCCAAAACTAGCAGACGCTGAAGAATACAAACACTTCCCAAAAGTCTCTCTCCATTTTTCTTCTTAATCCAGTTTCTGTCCTTTGTACACACCATTTGGGTTCTTCAGCATTTTGCAGTTCGTGCAGAATTATAATGACAATTCAGTGGAAACACGTAGTTTCAAATCCTCCCTGTCAAATTCTAGCTCTGAATGAACTTCTTCAGCAACACGTGGGCTTCATGATTTGATTGTCATTGCTGGCGCTGATGTAATGAAATTCTTACTGCTTCCTACTCTCGATATATCCGTTTCTCAGTAAGTTATATAGTATATGTATGTGTTTGAATTACAGCCTCAGTGGAGAGAGCGGAGGGAGATCCTTTGCTTTGCAAGAGGCATACAGAACAACATTGAAAAAGCAGAGGGAAGACAGGGAAAACACCTGTTTTCAAAGAGTTTGGAAATATTTGTAATGCACATTATGTGCCGATCAAGTGCATTTATCTTAACTGAGAGAGAGCTTTGGCATCAACACAGCGTGCTTCTTTTTAATTCAGTGTAATTGCAAGGAAAGGCTCTGAGACGTTTGATGACAGATAGAATATTTTAGAGGAATTACTATTCCTGAACAGCTTAGAGTAGACCCTACAGCAAATATGCTACTAAAGCTTACGCAGGCATCCGAGTTAAACTGATTTGAATTAAATACGGAGATGAGGGAAGGTTGGAGAAAATGTAAAGTGCAGGTAGAGAGAGAAAGGAAGAGGTATAAGGTGCTGGTATGGAGACAACGAGAAGCTCAGAGGGAGGCATATCTGTTGACTTAGAGTTTCTGTGTGGGTGTTTGGAGGTTCAGACACATAGTGTTGCCCTGTTATTTAGTGTCCTCGGTGTTACACAGCAGTTTGTGGGGGCGTCTTTTTTTTTCCCCCAGACACCTCAGGACCAATAATACCTTACTTCGCCAACAGGAAGACAAAGATCCCTGTTCTCTTAGTCTCTCTCTTTTGTAAAGCCATTCATTTACAGCATGTGCTCCTTCAGCATGCGCATGATGTAAAACAAAAGAGGAAAGGAGTGCCCTTGTGTTTGCCTATTAGCTGAAAAATTGGCTGGAATCTCTCAGAGAGTGAGAACCATTTGTGCCACTGTCTGCTCCACAACACACACACACACACACACACACACACACACACACACACACACGCATACAGCTGTCCTATCTGTTGCTATGCCACCCGACTTCTGATGGATTTTTGTTTTGACTGAGTGTACCCGCAATATGAGACGAAGGGGGGAAAAAAGAAAAAAGATAATGGGTCCAAAGAGACTTGGATGCAGGGATGGACAGGAATAAAAGGAAGAGGCAAAGGGTGACAGGTGAAAAAAGGAGTGAGATGCAGAAAAAACAAGGACAATAAGTGAAAGGAAAGGAAATCTTGGTTCGGAAAAGAAACGATAGGGTGAATTAAAGAAAGAAAATATCATATCACTACATCTCACTGGCTGGATTAATACAGTAATGTGGCATTTCTGTGGAAGCCTTGGCACGTGGCCACAGTATGCTCAGTGCCCTTGTCCTTTGAGTGCGCACATGTCCGTGGGTATGTGTGTGTTCAATCATGCTGGCATGCAAATATTAGCAGCTGTCAAAACAGACAGTGTTCCTCCTTTCATGCATAGTTTGGAGTACAATAGACGTGAATAAAATAGACTGGAGTTGAGTAGGAGAGGAACAGCATGTTTTCCTCTCTTCTTGTTTTTTTTTTTCATAATCTCACTCAATTTTGTCCCTCTTAATCTGCTCTTTGTTTTCTTGACTCACCTGGTTTGGCCAAGTAGCAGTGGTAGATAGTGGCGCTAGCTGGGGGAAGGCCAGTGCCCCCGGGGGGGTGGGTGTGGGGGGGCATGACAGAGCACTGCGGCCTTCCTCTGATGGAGGGACGGGACTGTGGAAGCGGTGTCAAGGCGCCATGAATGAGGCTCCCGACAATGTGGTGAATGTGAAAAATCACACCAAATCACCTGAACAGACAGAGAAAAGACAAGTATGACAAACACATCCACAATCCAACCTCAAATCCTGATCCCGAGACCGTATCGCATCGATTTGTTATCTCACGGGTTGCCAAAACCCCCGTGCAAACATGCATGCGCACTCCCATATGCCGTCAGCAGTGAAGGCTAAAGCAGCAGGATACTGTGTGTGTGCGAACACTCATGTTTGTGATACATTAAAAGTGTGCTTTTGTGTTTGCACCTATCCTGGCAAGTGTGCATATTTATGTATGCGCATGCAGTCATCACAAACCACTGGTACATAATAGACATAAATAACACATGTTTTTTTTCTTTTAGTCTACACAATCATTTTGCCTTTAATGCAGACAGACCCCCTAGTGCTAACTGTCTGGCACCGAGAGACAAAGTGTGAATGACACAGAGGGAAAATGGGAAGACAACAGTGAGAGAGAGACAGAGAGATGGATAAATGTAGAATCTGTAAATTACAGCAAAAGTGGGAGGGAAGGAAAAGAAGAGATGAATGGAAAGAATAAACAAGTGTAAGTGTTATTGTGGGGCTACAGAACTACCCTTGAGCAAAGACAGCAAAAGGTGATACAATGCTGCTCATACTCTCTAAAGCTTCAGCTTGGCAAGTCTATGAAAGAAAATCAACAAAACTTTTAGCAAAGGAAACAGTGAAACTATCCTCATTGATTTCCTTATAGAGGCAGCAAATCTGCAGAACCTCCTCATTGCAGAATGCTGCAGAAAACATAATTACATATTATGGTGGTTTTTTTTAATATTTATATTGTTAAGTTAAGTTAGGACTATGATAGAGTTCAAAGAAGACTGTCGATCTTCCATATTTGTTAGGTCGGGTCTGTTCTTGGACTTTCTGGCCATTCGTTTCTCGCACATATGTGGTAAAGATGAGATTGGTAAGGCAGCAGCAAGATCCAGAACACAACAGAGGGCATGAGTGAGAACAGATAAACATGAAACATGAAAAGAGGAGCAGGGATGAAGGTGGGCTGAAAGATGACTTTTAGATGTGTTGCGTCTGTACCCTGGTCGAAGCACTAGTAAGTCTTTCCCCCATAAAGATGACATTTGATTTAATTAAAAACCAGTTTTGAAACGGCAGTATATATCGATAAAGACGTGATTTAACAACCATTAGAATAGTTTACTGGTTTTTCCAAAAGTAGCTGCATAGACAGTGACCACCCTCACTAACTTCTCATGCAAACCCAGTTATTTTGTTCTATAAGCATGCATGAAATATGACAGGAACCACTCAGTTCAGAAAAAAGCTTAAAGGGTCACTCCTAGTTGGCTTTCAAGGTTAATGCCCCCAACTGGATGTGTAGAATGGGCTGAGATCGGCTATAAACTATAAACTTGTCTTTGTGGCCTGTTTGAGTTAGTCATAGAGCTAGATGTGTTGTTGTTTGGACTTGTAACTCTGTAAACTAATTTCAGTACAGTTTACTTTATATAGTACCAATTCAAAGCAACCCTTGCCTTAGGATTTCTACAAAATTAGATAGATAACCACAATAATCAGGCATTCACCGGTAATCAAGCACTTGGTGACAATGGGGAGGAAGAACTCCCTTTTAACAGGAAGAAATCAGAATCAGACTCAGGGAGGGGCAGCCATCTACCACGACCAGCTAGGTGGAAGAGGGGAAGAGAGCAAATGAGAGGAAAAAAGTTTATTGTATCAGTTCAATAGATGGACTGAAAAATGAATGACCTGTGTCAATTACATCACTGTAGTGAAACTTATCTCACATGCTTAAAAACAAAGTTTTCTTGTCACTGTTGAGTAATTGCAGTGAAAATAGGTCTTTACAAGTGGGAAATTACCATAGGAGAAAGCTCTTATGACATGACTGACATGGCACAGTGTTGACTCATAACCCCCCTCCCCCCTGGGCCAATCAGTGTAATTTTGAAAATGCTAGAGTGTGCTGCTGTGAGATGTGCCTTTTTCCCAAAGTGTCATCACAACCCAATCAGCAGTGTGTGAAATATCTCACTAATCAGATTAGGCTGTTGTTCGATGGTTAGCTGTTTGCAGGGAAAACTCAGGCCGACTTTTTCCACACGGTTCATTTCGCTATCGAGTTGAACAGAGGCAAAGGTGCATTTGCGCATGTGATTTGCACTCATTTGATGATACATGTGCAGCAACTGTTAATTTACACCTGTACTACCTTAAATAGCCATGTTAAGAAAAATAACCCAAGGTAGCTGGAGGATAATGCTGTTATGTTGTTCAACTTTCTGTGCATGGAGGCTTACTTTGAGAAGTATCGGTCGATCACTGTGCTCTATCAGTCTGCTAATCAGTTGTCAGTATGATAATTGCAATTGGTTGTATATCAATACTAGGGGAGAGGAGAAAAAAGTGGTGGAGTCACTGAATTAGGTGGGATAACGAGGAAAGGAGATATAGTAAGAAGATAGTGATGAAAGGATAAAAAGAAAAATAGAGACTAGGCAGGAAATACCAGAAGGAGTAGGGAGGTAAAAAATAAGGGCAATGGGTAAAACAGAAGCACATTAAAATTCTCCTGCACCACCTCTTTAGTGTTTTTGCGTGTGTATGTGTGGGTTTGAGTTGTCCTATTTGTTGTATCATTATTTTCATTAGTACCTGGCAGACACTGAGGAAAATATAAAGCACTAAACTGATGTTGCGTTTCTTTATTTAGATTCTCTTTTGGTATGTTTTCTTATATTTCCACATTTATTCCTGTTTTTTTCTTTCTTTGTGACCTTCATTTATTCAGCATTCGTTTCTCTCCTCGTGGCTTTCATTCATTCCCTCTCTTCCTCTCGGTCCCTTTCTCTCCTTAACAAAGGAACAGAGGCATGCACCGAGGATATTCAGCAGATGGATTTCCTGCATGTGATTAAAGTCACATTAGCTCTGCTCTACTGGGAAATTTCAGTTGTTCTTTTTAACTGAGCACATGAGCTTCTTTTGGAAAACTCAGAAGCATTAATGAGCAATGGAGGGAACTTCTGGAAGATTCATCTGTTTGGTTTAAGCTCTAAGCCGCAAATGTTTCATTTTTGATTTTGCTGGTAGGGTGTGACTTGTAAAGCTACATTACCTTGGTTGATACTGTGACTGAGTGATTCAAATTTAAGTCTCTACAATTAATTAACGACTGAAAACCAACAGACTCACCAAAATGTGGGTATTTTTGGATCCTTGCTTGTCTGAGCCCCCTATACAGCCTCGGCACAGCAGAATTCATATGTATATCATTTGAAGAGTGCATTCTTCAAAGATTTAACTTCATGCTTGTGAACTAATTTTCCATCAGTTTGAATATTTCTGTGTGAAATAATTCTTATTTCCTTTTTCACCTTTGGAACTGTAACTGGTGCCTGGGTTTTTATGTTGGCCATTTTTCAGATGATTCATGGCTCTGTTTATGTTTTGATTTATTCAAAGGAGGGAAAACAGTGCTTTTCTTTGCAAGCAAGTAAAACAATGAAATCATTATTTTTTCTAAATGGCTGCAAATACAGTGAAAGGAACTCACATCTGGTTATTAGACAAAGAGCGATTGACTTTTTTTTTTGGCCTCTCTTTTGCCGTTCATTAGCTTAGTGTTGCCATTTTTAAACTACTTTGGAGGGAGGTACAAATATTTCTGCCGACATTGCCCTTTGGGCATCTTGACTAGTAAATTTAACTTTATTGATCGCACTAGCCAATGCTTATTCGTTCTGTTACAACAACTAGAGATGGACCGATCCGATATTACGTATCGGTATCGGTCCGATACTGACCTAAATTACTGGATCGGATATCGGAGAAAAATAAAAAATGTAATCCGATCCATTAAATATCACGAAAGCACCTCACAAAACTTGCAACACGCCGTAACCTCAGAACGTTAGCACGTCGGAGCAGTATGCATCACGTGATAGAGCGGCTGTGGCATGGGGACCTGTCGGTGGTCTGGATAGCATTTGGAGCTTCGCTAGCAACCCGGCATTTCATCTCCGACAAAGTTATCCCCGAGAGAAGTAAAGCAAGTGTGTAAGTCCATCTCTGAATGTTTGTAAAGCATTCCTGCGTTAAGCTTAACAAACGATATATGGAGCGACTGCCTCTTCTTGCTGCTACTTCAATCATGAAACTGCTTAATGATCAGCTGATCGGCTTTTCTGTCGCGAGTCCGTCTCTCTTGTTTGTTTTTGGCCCACTTTGCACCAGAAAGAGGAAACCAGCGGCTGAACAACAGCAGCACGTTTAAGCTTGATAAGCTGTTGTTAGAATTTATTTAATATTACTTTCTACACCAGGATCTTTTTCTACGTAGCTGACGGCTGGTAACTGTGCAGGGGCGGATCTAGCAAAGTTTAGCCAGGGGGCCGATAGGGCATTAACAGGGAAAAGGGGGCACAAAGACATACTTTTCTTTCTTATTCTCATTTAAAATGTCTAGCTTTTAATAAATAATTATCTGAATCTTACACCCAAAGTTTTAATTGATGTAAAATGAATAGAAGTCAATTACTGTATATAGTAACTATTAAGTCTAATATATATATACCCTAGTAAGCTATAGTACTTTTTCCTTTGGGAAGGTACCATCTGTGCAGTCTGCAATTTTGTTGAAGAAAGATGTTGAATCTATTTAATATTTCTTGAAAAATAATTGATTTCTGTGCATTTTTTTTCACACTGCATCAAATTAAGGTTGATTACGTCGATTAAGCATCATGAGGTGGAGCGTGAGGGGTGGTTCCCTATTTTTTATTTATTTATTTTTGTTGCTGGGAGTTGGAACCCTATTAGTTAGGTTGCTTAATATTTACGCTAAGTACTCTTTAAAATACCAGAATAGGGAGGATGGTGTAGGTTTAAGTTTATTAGATTGATCAGTATTGCTGAACTATGAAATATTTTTTTTTTGCATACAGGTATAACAGAATAGCTTTAGTGTAGTTGTTGTTTTAAACTTGAGTATGAACTTATACAAAATGCAGCAAGATATTTTAAAAAACAGTTTTGTTGATTAAAAAACACTATATCGGATTCATATCGGTATCGGCAGATATCCAAATTTATGATATCGGTATCGGTATCGGACATAAAAAAGTGGTATCGTGCCATCTCTAACAACAACAGTGCTGAAGACCTTAAAAGTGGGACAAACTGGGGAATAAATAACAAAACATTGCATTTCATCAGCAAGATCAGTAATAGTCCAGAATTTCACATGTGAAATAACATTTGAATTGTTAAAATTTGCAATTCATTCATGTTAAGCTTTGCTAAAATGTCATCATGTGCCTATGTATGCTGGAACTGATGTATTGAAGGTGTAGCAGAAGGTCACCTTTGCAGCCACATTACTGGTGATGTGGCATCAAGCCTGCCAGGCTATTCTCAGAAACCTTCTTTTGACCTGGACAGGGGGCACCCAAAATCTACACATGCACCTATGCACGCATTTATATACATACACGTGTAAATACTTGGGTGTCAGAGTGACCCTGCCTATTGAGGAATCACGTAACACCTCCTCCCCTCCTCTCAGCTCCTCTTCTTCCTCACCTCTTTACATTCTACTTTTGTCACTAACTCTTTGCTGTACTCACTCAGGCTGCAGTTGCATACCGCAGAGACTTTATGCAGGGCAACGTTTGACCACACGCCTTGGGGCAGACACATGAATCAGGCAGATTGTGTTTCTCCTCTCATTTATGGCAGGAGGTTGTTGATAGTGAGGAAGCGAGTTAACTTCATTCATGCTTGACAGGTTTATACTTTGTGATCGTGCTAATCAATTTCCAGGACATGCATATGTGTCCTCCACAAGATTATCAGCTCATGTAACAAAGCAACTTAAAGAATCGGAACAAACCTTATGTCTGAGTGATGTTTTTACAGTAGCTAGACATGTTTATATTTTGCCATCTTGAGCTCAATCCATCCATGTCTTATGTCTCCATAGCAAATGTGCACAAATGCTTTAGGATGCAGAACAGATGGATAATGTACAACAAAGATACTCAGTGCTACAAGAGGCAGTAAGCAATAAATCAATTCTTTTCTACACTGTGGTCATCTGCAATGAGACAACTTAAACCCCTTGACAAGAGCTTTAATCATTCGTGATTTGTCATGTTAGTGGGGTCAGCTGGAGGTCATCCAGTTTCATTTCTATATATCTGTGTGCAAAGGCAGGTGCGTTTATGTCTGTTTGGATGCAGGTGTGTAGATTTTGAGCAAATAGCCAAATTCTTCACTTGAAACAGGGGTGTTAAACATAAGGCTCAGGGCATGCAAACCGGCCCACTGGATGTTTTTAAAATAAGAGGGAGGGCATAAATTTTGAGCTTTAAATTGTATTTTAATAAGTTTTACAGCTTTTCTGGCTGATAAAGAGCTCCCACGTGGCCATCCATACTGGACCACAGTAATTAAGCAACAGATAAACTAGTGTACACAATTCTATACATTACATAAATGTAAAGTCAAACTTCTTCATATTGACAGAAAGGAGAGTTTCACCAGCCCGGCGCACTCACGATCAAAGAGGGCTGGATGTGGCCCGCCATCTAAAATGAGTTTGACATCCCTGACTTAAAGCCATGCTTTTAAATCTCTTATATACACACAGACATGCATACAAAACTAACAGGGAATACAAAATCATGAAAACACTTGAGTGCAAATACATTGTTAAATGTGCGTGTAACCGTGCAGGTTGCTGACAAAGGCAGAGCCAGGCAGCCAAGCTCCCTAAATCAATTTTTAATGGCTTTGTTACACTGGAGAGGGAAGAGATTGGGGCAACATGGCACACACACACACACGCCTAACCACACGCCAGTAGCTGTACAAAAAGAGCAACGTACTGTATGTGTTGACAGGCACATGGTACAGTTATATGTACAGATATATTATAACACATGCATGTGGGTATGCAGCCACATGTTGAACATTCATATGAATACCATTCTGTCCAAGAGTTGAATTTCACTGAACATATGCTGTTGATTTTAATAAGTATGGAACCGATATTACACCATGTCATGGTCAAGGAAAATTCTTTCCAAGACAAAACTTTTTCAGACTTGTGTCCCTCAGCTGTGGATAAACAGAACCTGCTAAAGATGGTCAGTTATGCTTCAGATGGGTTTGGACAGCTGACAGCTATTTTTATTTACACTCATTGTCTTGGTATTGTAACTGTATATTATGTCATGATTTTTTTTTGCTTTCTTTACTTTTATTCTGTGTAAATGATCAGTTTTTGCTAATATCACATACAATCTTAGCTAGTCTCATTTTTTTTGAACACCACCCAGATCTGACAGTAGCGCTTAGGAGTAAGAGGCTAAGAGTAAAATTTGTCATTTAGTTAAGTGCATCATTAATATCACCCAGACTCATTAAATCCTTTGCAGCTGATATTATCTAAATCATTTAATGAGTGGTTTCACATAAGCCCCCAGACTGGCCTCAATTGTTAGCCATGTTTCTTAGTAGACATACAAAACTAGTGCAGCCACATAATCCATTAGTCTTATAATTGTTTTCTCTAGAATAATGTCAGAAGGTGTCTGCGTTACTTGGAAAATAGTCTGTTTTCATTCATTTTTATCTAAAGCAGAGAGGCACAAAAGGGTGATGAAACCTCACACCTACTGCATGATCATACAATCACAGTGCAGCTATTGCAAGCTAATCACTCTTACATCACACCATCTGAAAAGAGATTAGAGCCCGTGAAGTGTTATAAAGCAGGTAAAAACAGCAACACACTACCCAGAGGCCTCTGAGTGAGAATTAACGCAGTGCCATTTAATGGCATCTATCAAGGGCTCTACATTGATTAATATTACATAAGATATTGTGAAGGTCATGAAAAGAAAGTACTGAAGAAATGTTCAACCAAGTTTCCATTAAACTGTTGGAGTAGTGTAAGATCACAGCATGTAGAAGGGACAGTATAAAAAAAAAGTAAGCATAGATCATTTCAAGAATTAAAGCAGGTTTGCTTATATTCTGTACTGTGGTAAAAAAAATGGTAAATGGCCTATATTTATATAGCGCTTTACTAGTCCCTAAGGACCCCAAAGCGCTTTACATATCCAGTCATCCACCCATTCACACACACATTCACACACTGGTGATGGCAAGCTACATTGTAGCCACAGCCACCCTGGGGCGCACTGACAGAGGCGAGGCTGTCGGACACTGGCGCCACCGGGCCCTCTGACCACCACCAGTAGGCAACGGGTGAAGTATCTTGCCCAAGGACACAACGACCGAGACTGTCCAAGCCGGGGCTCGAACCGGCAACCTTCCGATTACAAGGCGAACTCCCAACTCTTGAGCCACGATCGCCCCCCCGTGCATTAAGAAAGGGCTGCAAAAATAGCAGGGTGATGTGCAGCGGTTGTGATGTACTGGCAAAAGTCAGACCTGTAGATCATGTGACTTTAGGTTATGCATGAGACTTTTGAGCAAGCAGCATTGTCCAATTGAAACAGTTTTGACTTTATAAGCTTTAGAGCATTTAACTTTAAATCAGGTGGATGGATGGTGTTTTTCACATTAGTTCTTTCACTAATTTGATTGGACTGAATATACACCTTCAGATACTTGTAGCAGTTAGTTTTTACTATATCTGTGGTTGGAGCATTTGGCATATTTACAAAGGCTACAGTGTATTTCCCAAAGGCTGTATCTCAATAGATGATTCATCAGGAGCCTCTTTACCAGCAACAGTTTCTATTAATTTATTTTGCAGTCATTTCAGAGGGAATTTCAGTTTCTTTACTGTTCTCTAACATCATATTATGAGATCTTTAGACCATAATATTTACTGTTCATGCCCACTAAGACATGTTTTATAATATGACAGCCAGGTTTATTCCACAGCACTGCAGCACAGCAATAGTTTTTAAGGTATTTTCACAAAAAGGAAATGAAGGAATATCCTGTTATAGTAAGCATGCCATGAATCATAACTCTCATACTTTTCTACTGCCCACCCCTGCAAGCTTTGGCCCAAAACCACATCCTAGGCATTCCTGTCAATGTGTAGTGTGTGTCCAGGAAACAGCCCGAGGGCTGACGTTTACGGCTTCCACCTCCTCACAGTATGCACTTTTGGCCCCGTCTAGAATTCCCATATGTTTCAAGAAAAACACAAATGTAATTTTCTTTTTTTCTGCAGTGTACTTTGTTTGACATTATAAATATTCAATTCCAGTCAAAAAAAAGAAGAAATGAATGAGTGGGGTGAACACCGTCAACCAGACTTACCTTTTGACCAAATATCTCGGACAGCACGAGCTTTATGGCTTTCTGCAATCAGCCATTCGTCCAAAAATATTATTTTTTTAAAAAAAAGAAAGAAATAAAGCTCAAAAATTTCTGACTGGACAAAAAAATTGAAGAAAAGCTGTCACCACTACAACTAAGAAAATCCATACATTCAAGATCCTGGTCAGATGAATAATGTAAGATTAATCCTTCTCTCTGAATAAAGACAATTCCTCCACCTTCCCTTCAACCCACCGATAAATTGTGAAGGGACGGATTGTGTAAAAAAAAAAGATGAGGATTTTAGAAAAAAAACAGAGGTAAAGAAAGGCTTAGAGGAACAAGAGGAGGTAAGAGAGGCTAAGGTCCTCAGAGGGAGAGGGATGGAGATAGTTAATCCTTTTCTTAGGATCTGTTCCGTATATGAATGATATGTCCAGCGCTGTCCTGCTCGTTGGCTTGCGTGTTGCCGTGTGTCTGAGAGGCGTGAGTATGTGTGAAAAAGAGAGAGACGGTGTGTGTGTGTGTGTGTGTGTGTCTGAGAGAGATAGAAAGAGAGGCAACAGCGTTAGGTTGCTGGCGTCATGCGCTACCCCTTCTGTGTCGCTATGTTTGTGATTCCTGCACTCAGCACGCGTCGGAGCGTGTGTGTGTGTTTATCCATGCATGTACACTTGAGGGTTGTCTTTCCGGTGCGCCTTTGTTAGACTGTGTGTGTGTGTGTGTGTGTGTGTGTGTGTGTGTGTGTGTGTGTGTGTCTCGATACTCCCACCTCCCCCGTTTTTCTTTACGGTACGTGTGTGCAGCCGTGCATGTGGCAGGAGAATGTACGTGTGTGCGTGTGTGTGTGTGCCTTGTCAAATATAGTAACATTAGTGTATGCTGCCTCTGTCTGCCTGCAGCTCTCCCACAGTGACAGAGAGAAGAAGAGGGAGGTGGAATACAGAGTGCGTGATAATACGAACGAGTGAAAGCTGAAGGAGAGATAAGGGAAAATACAGAGCAACAGAGTGAGGAGAAACTAGAGAGTGGAGTGGAAGGCATTGGGAGAAATGTGAAAGAGGGTGCAAAAAATAAATAAATAAGGAAGCTAGGTAGGAGAAAAGGGAGGCAGAAGACACGGTGGGATGAGGTTGATGGAAGGGGGACGGGAAGAAAGATTTGAGAGAGAAAGCTGTGACAGTGGAGCGAGGGAGGATGCGAGAGAGAGAGAGAGAGAGGGAGGGATCAGCTGATTTCAGTAAAGATGAGAATCTCCCTCTGCCACATGGGCTTTTCTCCTCCCTCGATTTTTTTTCCTCCTCACGTCGCCCTCTCTCAGCTTTCATTTTCATCCTATTCCCTGTGGCAGCTCTCGTAACGGCTGTGTTTGTGTGTGTGCATGTGGCTGTATGAGCACATGCACTGGTGTGTGTGTCCTTGTTTACATCTCACGGACAGAACTGTGATCCTCATGAGATAAAGCAGTCCATTTTTAGGTAAATTAGATAGATTAAACTAGATAGGTTTATGCATGCCCGTGCAGTGTTTTGTGAATAATTGTGAGAAGCGTTTTGGTGGAAGATATCATTGACAAGTTTAAGACAGGTGTTAGTAAGACAGTATGTGGTTTGTAAAGCGGGAGTAGGGTATGAACTGGTGGGGCGACTGTGTGTTTGTTTGCACACAGCATATAACTACTTGGCTGCTTCCTTACATGGCTTGAATCATAGCTCTCTCACACATACACACACACATTGTGCTGTTAATGAGCATGTGAATCGCTTGGCTCAGATTCAGTGTTCAAATGGGAGACTAGTTGTTTCCATAAGAAACTGAACCAAAATCGCTCATGAGCCAAGCGTCTTTTTCTCTCTCTTTCACTAAAGGGACTGGCATTGTTAACAGAGGGGGGTTTTCATCCTCTCTTTCTTTTCCACATGCTGGAAGCCACCGATGACTGATTTTTACTGTTTTTATTTGGCAAATATGGCCGAAATAGATATTATACACCAACCAGACCAGACCTCAGAGATGATCCTTAACTTTGACCTTTCCGGGAACAAATTTCATGTTGAAGCTGCACCTGTCTTTGGATATTTCCAATAGAGCCCAGCTGATACAGGATTTTTAATACTGATGCTAATACCAATGCACTGATACTGATATTTGGTTATTCAAAAACCTGATATTCCAATACTGACCAATGATTTTTTTTTTATTTCAGACACATAAAATATAAAAAGAGTTCCCTAACACTTATGTGTACTTATTGATTTTAGTTTTTAGGCTCTGTAGACTCTTGGCCTTTGGTGGGCAAACTAGCTAATATGAGCTGATAATATCATCCCTCTAATGAAAAGAGTAGGCTCCAATTAGCAACATTCGAATAACTGCAATGCAAAGGACTGTGGAATATAAAGCTGATACCAAGTGCATGGGGCCACTCTGTGACATTTTTACAGTGTTAGACCTCACTCATACAGGCCTAGAGACCAATAAACAAACCCCTGATAAGCTCCAGTTCTGTAATCTCCACCTGGTTGGTGAGTTGTTGCTGGGCGTGGCTAGATGAAATTGGTGGGAAAAAATGCACCAAAAAAACTCGTTTTGATTGCTTTAGTCTTTAGCAGATTTCCACAGATTGGTGTTTCATATGTAAGATATTGACTTGAGTGCAAGTAGTCGCCAACTACTCGCCGACTGACAGTTAAAATGAAAAGTGTGACGCAAACCGAAAACAGAGGCTGTTTGCCTTCAAGGTAAAAGTCGCACTCTTTAAAATTCTAGGTCTGTGTGACTGTTGCCTTATGCAGCTCCTCAAAGCATTTGAACATCTTCCAGCTTCTTATGATCTTGTTATTTTACAGCTTCAGTAAAAGTTTGCAGCATTCCTGATAAGGTAACTGTGCACTTGGCACATAGTTAGCCACTATCTGGTGAACATACTGATTATTAAGCAGCTAGCGTGCCCAACATTTCCCTTAGATGGCAAAGACCAGAGCAGAATTTAAGGAGGGCGATTATTTTATTTTGAAAGGACATTTATCAGGTGGACAGAAAGACTTTTCCAACTGAGTGCAAATGTTTGTACCATTTAAGCTGTAAGTGTAAATACACATCTATTTGTTAAGAATTTTTGCATGAACAAAATAAACAGTGAAGAGAAGAAACAGGAACATCATTCTGGAGGTTGGACCAAACAATTGGAAATGGATTTCAAGACATCCAATCTAACTGTGCACCTTCTTTCAGTTTGCACATGTCAGTGTCTGTTGCCAGGCTGAAATATTTACAAAGGCTGGTTAATACATTGGATTGGTCAGCTGCCCAACACACACACACACACACTTACAAGAATAATCTCAACTGAGTTCTCTGGTTTCCTGTCCAAATGTGGGCACTGTGCTGGCTTTATGACATGGATGTAGTTACTGGCAGACAGAAATCATTATTTTAGCTGCCAGTAGCTCCGGATAGTGTTGGCTGTAAGGACATGCTCTTCAGCGGTATTAAAAATGATTGGCTAGAATGACAGGAATAGCATGGAGTGTGCAATATGCTGTTGCACAAAACAATTTTATCTCAGCGTTGAGTGATGTTAAAAAATATTTAAAGGTAGAAAGAAATTCTATTTTTGAATGAGCAGTGGTAGCAACTCTTCCTGTGTTTGTCTGCACATTCGTGTGCAATCCCAAAGGAGTAATTAGTCCTCTAATTAGTCCTGCCAATCCCCTCCAGAGTGCAGAGGTCAGCAGCCAGGGTCAGCTGCTTGGCACTGCCAGGTATTTAGTGCCAGGCTCAAGGACAATTTGCCACAGTTGTTATAAAATATAAAAATCGTGCTTAAAGCCCAGTGTTAATAATAGAAACTGTGGGGTTTTTTGTTTTGTTTATTTTTCACCGGCAGATGTTTCCCCTCCTGCAGTTTTAAACACCACTCAGAAACCAAGTGAAAGAACACCGAAGGCAATTCAGTTTTGTCAGAGGCATCCATCTGTCGGCTCAAAACCCAAACATTTGGTATCTTGTGCCAGACTTTTGTCTTAGCACCACCCATTAATTATCATACATTGCTTATCATCTGAAAGAGGCCTTGCACTTCTGTGGTATTGTCAGAGATGTGAGCCCTTGCGGTTGCACTTGATCTCATGTTCCATTTTTACACTCAAAATTCAGAGTGTTTCAACTCTGACTTTGTTTTTTCATTGACCTTGCAGTTTGCAGCAGATGAAATGACACCTGTCTCTGATGTAACCTGAAAGCAATCCCCAGTGGATGAAAAGGGAAAAAAAAACCCTTTCATATCTTACGGCCATCTTTGTTATCAGGTTCTTACTTTTTCTCCAAAGAAGCACAATTGGTGCTGCTTTTTGCATTAAATTCAACTACTGCATGTAAATCACTGACATGTTTGCCAGCCTCTGCACTGTAACGTGCACCCATCTTGTAGTGAACACAGTTAGCACCCCTGGTATTAAGTAAGCAGCACTAGCATTTGGCAAAATCCAATCTCTGATCTAAAATCAAGGCTTAATATGTGCTCAATCCTTTGTTACTTACTTACTTCTGTATGAAAACAAAATCTTTATACTCTATGTGTAAAAAAGAAAAGTATGGCTGTTGTTTCAGAACCACGGACAGCAGCACTGTTTGCTGTGTTATGATCTGATGAAATGACACAGAGTGCAGTGTAGTAGACTGTTAAATCCCCCCCCCCTTTAGTTTCCCAGCTTATTTAATTTTTTGTTGTTGTTGTTTTTGATAGCAAATATTGAATTATTGCCAAAAGTTTTATTTACTAAAAAGTCCACAGAGAGAGAGACAGTGGGAAACACAGAGTGAGAGAGCGAGAGCTATAGCTGTTTATGTGTGACTCACCTGGCTGATTGTTGCTTGCTTTTAGTTTTGTTTAGTTTCAAGAGGTAGCAGGGGTGCTGAGACTTTTTGTCTCCTCAAACCCGCCAGAGCAGCACAGTCACTTCGTCCCAGACCTCCAGATTTACAAATGAAACTGTTTTCTGAAACAACAGAAAGAGTCCACTGTGGCTATAATTCTCAATGTTCATGTAATATATATATATACATATTTAAAAGCAAGTTGAAAAATTCTGATAAATGTTTAATTTAATAAACAACACTGTAGAGAGTGTGATTGCTCCTCTAGCTCAGGTAGTTCATTTAAAATTTTGCACACTGATTGAGAAGGAAGAGCTTTTTACAACCAGGTAAGAATGCAAGGCAAGCTTATTTATTTGTTTCTCCAAGGGATTTTTTCCTCTTTTTTTAGGATTGTTTATATGTCTGGCAAAAAAGGCATGCTGGCATTGGGATCCATTTTAAGTGCCAGCACCTCCTGCCAAGGCGACTTTTATGGCCAGTTCTGTTCCATCAATGATGCAGGAAATACGTGTTATGAAAAATGATTACTTGCAACGGTTTGGAGCAGGAAAGTGTATTTTTTGTGTTTTCTGCATGCCTGTTGTGGTGTTGCACAGAAACATTCATTCTCTAGCTACATGAATATTGTTTTATTTATTATCTTGTTGGCATAATTAAATCCCTGCAGTCCTTGCTGTCTCTTGCCTCCAGTATTGATGATATATGAATTTAAACCCAGTCTGTAGCATTCATTATAAGTTGGAGCATCAC